TATTTTTTAAAGCAGGCATAAAAATCTGGGTTACCAGAATTATCTAGCAAGACTTTTTCAACAAACCACCATGTTCCATGGAGGAAACATCCACACTTAAGGCATCCTAACACATCACTAAGCCAGCCCCTCCTGATGAAGGCTGATTTGAGATGGAAAATTCATTTCTAGAAGACTGATGGGGGTGGATCCCAGAACAGTTCCTCAAACGTTACGTTCAGATTAATGTACAGCATTTTCAGTGATTTAAAAAAAGAGTAAGACACAGAAAGGAACACTCAGTACTCAATGAATATCAAATGCCCAGGGTTCCAGAAGTATCACAGTATATTGTTTGAAGAGATAACAGACATGGTGCCTGCCAATGTTTAAGGAGAACAGAAAGCATTAGTGAGATGCTGCTGATAGGTGGTAGGTTACTAAATGACAAATAAATAAGTGAATTCAGACATGGGAGAGGGTGTGAGTTTCATGCTTGTCTTAGTCAAATGTCATTTCTATAATAAGTAATTTAGAAGAAGACAGGCTAGCTTCAGTCTGAATTTGTTCTTCCATGTTAAGTCAAAGGGGTGATCATTTTGGATGGTGTTCTAGCATGAATCACATACAGAAGACATTTCTGTAAGAGAAGCAGGTTGAGGGAAGCGGTTAAGAGGACTTAACTACTTTGGCATAGGCAAGGCTCATTTGCTTTCCAGTTCTAATACTTGTATGCTGACTGATGTCAGGCAAAAGATGCTTGATACAATTGAGCCTCACCCATCCTATAAATGACACCTGCCTCACAGTATTGAAGATGAAGTTAAGATATCTGCACAAAAGCCAGAACAGAGCAGCATAGCACCAAGCCCACAGCTACAGCCCAAACTGACTAGATTTATGAATAGAGTGATGGACTTGTCTCAGATCTTGCCTCTTATATATCTATAAACACATGGAGAATATTCTTATCAAGTTTCTTAAAATAAATGTTGGCAGCCCTTCCAAAGTCAAGTTAATGGCATCCTGGGACCTTCTCTTACTTTACACCACATGTCAACTCAGTCATCAAATCTCTCTCTCCACCTCATAAATTTCCCTCCACTCCATTTTCTAGTCTGCAGCTTTCTTTCTACCAAACCATATTAGGTTCTAATTACTATCACTCACCTACAACATTGACTTTGTTAACTTTCTCTGTCTCCTCTCTCTCTCTCTCTCTCTCTCTCTCTCTCTCTCTCTCTTTCACTTTTGCTCTCACTCTCCGCTCCGTTGCTTCATGCCATGGTATTCAGAAATAATTTCATAAGCCCTGTTTGTGAGCACACCACCTTTTTTCATTTCCTCCAGTTCTAACATGATGATCACAATGACCTTACTCCAAAATTTAGTTGCAGCTAGCCACACCAGCTTTAGATCTTTTAAAATACTTTGGACTCTACATCTTTTCAACATCCTCCAAACCATCTTGAAACCACCCTGCTCTTTCAGTTCTCTGGGCATTTTCCCTTGAAAAAAAATTATAATAAGTTTTCTCCATTCCCCTTGGGGTGAACAACCACTTTTTTTTCAGGGTGAGCTGAACCATAAGCCTCAGACAGCAACTATCTTCTCTGTCTCTTGTGGTTCTTTAAGCTATCATGGTTACTATACCTTTAAATTCCCATTGAAATTATTAATGAGCACATTCCCTGAGCCAAATGGTAATTTAGATGTTTATGTATATGTTAGATAATCATAAAAATATTTTAATAGATTATTCAGCTCTTAGAGGTCAGTAAAGGAAGACCTAAGATGCTTAGTAACATGCCACAGTTCATATCTACCTGGTAGGGCTGGCAGTAAACAGATGATGAAAGTATCTGTGTCCTGTGTTCATTTCTGTTGACACAGTCACAGTGCAGTTGCTATTTATTATTTTTCAAATCCATAATGTGTTCTCTGAAAAATTGGATGTCTTCAAATGACATGCATTTTTCTCTTTGTACCACTGGCTCTTAAGCACAGTGTCAGCATGTTACATATACTCAGTTTATGTTGGTTGAATGAAAGAATAAGATCCATGTAATGAATGAAGATCAGTTTTAGAAGGGATGCAGAACAGTGCAGAAATTAATTCTGAGATCTCTAAGATGCTTGATACAGTTGAGCCTCCGTTCTCACCCATACTAGAAATGACACTTGCCTCACAGTATTGAAGATGACATAAAGATGTCTGTATAAAAGCCAGAACAGCACAGCACAGCACTAAGCCCACAGCTACAACCAAGACTGACTGTGTCAGTATGTCTAGAAGTATGCATGGGTTCAGAGAGTGGCTGGTGTTTCCTTTACAGCCTTGCAATTGGCAGATAGCCCTAGCAACCAATTGACCATATGTCACTGATCATTGTTTCCTGGGCCGTCTTTATCATTGTCTTCAGAGTGCAGCCCTGTTCACAAATGGATGGCTGATTGTACTACTTGCTTAGGAAATCATTTGTTACTTTTCTAAATCCCCCCTAATTTCCATTTTAAGACAGAAACCCTCCATCACATAGCCCCACCCAATGAGCTGTCATTTCACTTTCTGGAGACAACAAACGAAGTGGAACCAGAGAATAACTGCCCCACAGGGATGCCTTTCTACTCAGCCTGAGCAGAGATGCCAAAGCGTCCTGTATTATCATGTTCAAAAAGCAGAATCTGTGAAGTTTTGTAATCTCCCCAATAGGAATAATACATCCTACTATTTGTGAACATCTTAAATCTTCTAAAGCATGAGGTATCTGGGTATCAGCCAGAAGAAGAAGAGCATCCTGACGTCCTGACATCTCCGCTTGGTCCCTGACCTGGAGAAGTGGCTGATGGAGGGCCTGGCAGCACTGTGGGGGGCAGTTGTATTGCTGAAAGTCCCAGATAGATGCATGTAACTGTCTCCATTAGGGTCTTCCAGGCCCAGTGGCCCCAGAATAATTTCAAGCTGACAGTGGTTTCACTCATTACTTTGCTAGGCATATTTTAGAATGATCTTGTGGGAGCAAAATTCCCAGGATGCTTTCTCAACACCTTGCCCAATCCCTCTGAAAGAGAAAAGATGCTGCTTCATTGTCTACTGCTGAGGCGTCCCACAGCCTGTCTCTGATTTGCCCTGCTCTCACAGTTGCCTGGGGGCAAACCGGAGCCCATTCTGCAGTTCAATTCTGATGTCCAGCTATTACAGGGCATCTAATTAAATTAAGCCATAAGGCAGGAGAAAGCTGTGCCATCATCTTCGTAATCTGCAAAGCCTCTCACTATTTGCCAAGCATCAATTTCCTAAAAAAGGGGACTGCAGCACTTCCAAATACTAAAATGGAAATTCTGACTGTTTACAAGGTTCACAGAGATGCTGAGCTGCAAAATCGGGGCATGAGTGGAGCCAGAGCCTGGGCTGTGAAGGAGGATACCTTACATAATGGCCTTGAAATCTAAATTACCTCCTGCTAATTGGATGGAGCAAATGATCATATTCATTTCTGAATTTGTAAAATTGCTTACTTCGGAAGGAAAAAGAAACATCTGTTCTACTGGTCTAATTCAGTCCTGAGTAAATTTGTTCTCTCATGTTTCGACATAGCTGAGTGAGGAAAGACGGGTTTCGTTCTGGTTGTAAAGGGTGAAAGTCAGCTTTCTGAAGCTGCAGCCTCTAGTTGCCTCCCCAAGAGCGCTCTCCACAGGCACAGCAGGATCCAGCTAGGCTTCTAAGCTTGGGAACATTGTCTGTTCCCTCTCCTCTGTGAGGCACAAGACAGAAGACTAAATGAAGACATAATTGTTTAAATTTAGATTTTTGTTGTTGTTGCTGTTTTGAAATACAGTTTTACTATATTTCAGGCTACTCTGGAACTTGCTATGTCTTCTAGGATGTCCTTGAGCTCCAATCACCCTGTCTTAATTTTTAATCCTCCTGAACACTTGGATTACAGGCGTCACTATGCCTGGCTAAAGTGTGACAGTAAATGAATACCTTCTAGATGGTATTGTAGCATGCTTACATTCTGTATACAATAATAATATCATTTACTCCCACCAATGACTCTGAGAGTTAGAGATGTTAACTGGCCAAAATGTCCCAAATTAAACAGGGAGAATCCAAACCTAGATCTCATGGGTTTTGGAGATTTTCCTCTTTATACCGAATTTATCTATTAAATATAGACAAACTCTAGGGACACTCCATGTGCTCATTTTCAGAATGGAAGGATGGAAGTGTGGGCAAGAGTGAGAGTTATTGGACTTTGATTTTCTACAGCCAGCTTTCCTTTTCAGATCCTCATTTTATTGGTTTGTTGAATGTGAGCAACCAAAACTATTATATGGTCTTAAGTTGTAATATTAAAGATAAGCATCGCAGTCATTTAAATGATTTAATTCAGATGTTTTGGATATGATTTCATTTTGGTGGGAGGAGGTTGAGACAGAGTTTCCCTGTATAGTCCAGGCTCACTTAGAAAACTTAAATCCTCTCCCCTTAGTTTCTAAGTCTGTGGTGACAAGCATGCACCATCATGGCAGACACTGATTTCATAAGAAACCAAAACAAAACAAAACAAAACACTGCCCAGTCTTGGAATACAAATGGTCTAACCTCATAGGTTTAGATACCTATAAGCTCCTGGAATATGTGTATTTCAAAATCTGCTTGGTACTCTGGTACATTTCAGGTGGGGAATTTTTGGTCAGGAGCAAAGTGATATTTGTCTTCCTGGATGCTCATGCTGGCACCTTCTGACATCATGGAATTGGCGGCACAGAGGTTGGTCACATGTCTGATGAGAACAGAGCTTAAATGGGCCTCAGTTCTCATCAGCTTCACGCCTGTGAAACTCCATAGAATGGAGATGTTCAACAAGCTCTGGAAGCATTTCCAGTGCAACCTTCTTTCTTCTGAAGCTTAAAGTTGCATGAAATTCCAGTAAGCCACAGGGAAGCATTTGAGTGTGTTCACTGGCCGGTAATGCTTAAATAACTGTGGTTATACGCTTTCAACGTTGGAATCACTAAAGTTATCGTCAGCCTTAGAATCACCGGGCTGAGCATACAGCAAAATGTTCTGCTTTTAAGTAGACAATTTGACAGATTATTTAAATCAATAAAGAAAACTGCTCTTCTAGACAAAGCAAACTACTGGTAAAAGAGGTTTTGTGTGATAAAGGGAAGTTTCTTCTTTTTCCTTGTAAGTAGTTACATTATTTTTACCTCTGAAATAGAATCACCTCCTGTATCTCCGAACAGCTGGTCTTGCAAGTCTGCATTCTATGATGACAAGTTATATTTTCTACTGACTTCTGAGGCACAGTGAGTTCATATGTTTTAATCAACTTGTGCATTTAAAAATCTTATTGAGGGTGTATAATATGCAAGGCTTTCTGTGGACGTTTTGAAAATATTAGAAACTTACATTGATTTTAGTTCAATAGAACTTTTAAAAGAATGGAATGTAGAAATCTGCTCTGTAAGACTGGCATAGTGAACTGTGTCTAATTAAGAAGTTTTGTTTTCAGGTCTTTGAAAAGAAATGGGTGGGAAGAACAGTAAGCAGAGATGTTAATTTAAGATAGATCTGGTGAGACAAAGCCAAGACCACGTGCAAAAGTTACATGTGGTGTTATTAATTCACTGTGAAACCTAGTCATGTGGTATTATTAATTCACTGTGAAACCTAGTCTACACCATGGAACTTCAATTCTTCAGATTCTGGCTCCAGGTTTTTAGTTTGGGGTATTTTGTTTGCTTGTTTTTTGACCAAATGTAGCAAGCTTGATTCTATTCATCCACTTTTTAATTTTGTTTTAGTAACTCATAGACTACTCTTAATCTTAGTTTTTTAAAATGCTTAAACTCATCTGGATTCCTCACATAGTTTCAACTCTGTTCATAGCTCATATTTCTGGTTTCCAGTAATTTATTTTCTTGACATTCAGCATCTACCATACCTCCAGCACTGTGCTAGGCACACAGTATGTATATTCTGGATAGTATCTCTGACCTCAAACAATTTCTAGTCTTCTGCAGGGGGAATGCCAGGGTGGGATACATAGAGAACGCTGCTGAGGAGGACACAGTTTACTGTGAGAGTAAAAGAAAAACAGCATCATGGAAACTTAGAACTTTCATCATGAGAGGAGTCCAAGGGTGAAGAAATGTTTTACCCACAGGAAGGAGAAAGGAATTTTATAAGGGGTATAACTGGAGAAGGGTACTCCAGAAAAAACGAACAGTCTACACAAGGCAAGTACCTTGCTTCCTAAGATATGGGGATGACTAAATGTATGAAGATCATCTAGGATCCGCTAGATTTTACTGAATAAAATAGCAGAAGTAACTTCCCCATCAGTCCATCTCAGTCCTAATAAACACAAGGAATAAATCCTCCTGTGTTTTCTGAATACATTTTCTATCTCTCTAATGCTTGCTGGTCTCCCCCTTCATCAGAGAGCAAATTTTATGCTCTGAGACTTAAGCAGGTGATCTTATCTTGCTATTTTGAATAATGTTTCATTTCTATTATGTTTATTTTTATAGTTTATTTTCATTGTGGTAATTGAACTTTTCAATTCACAGCATTGATACGAAGTTTTCTTTGAAATGACTTTATTTTAGTTAAAATGCAGTCAATCAAAAACAATATGCAAATAATAATACAGGAGGTACATGGCAACAACATGAAGTTGGTATGTCAATGACTGGGATTTCATAACATTGGAACAGAAGATCAGGAGACTGGAATGAAGATTGATGATGGTGGTACCTAGAACCATTTGGCAGAAGCAGACTGTGCAGGGCCTCCTAAGTCAGGCTGAGGAGTTTATCCCTGGGGAGCCATGGAAGCATGTAACCAGTAGACAAGCCTGCGAAGATGTGAACACTAGGATTCACCGGCAGATGTGAAGTATGGCCCAGGGAGCTAATGAAATATGTCGGTCAGGTTGTTAACATCCCCATGAAAAGATGAGAGAACAAAGATAGATGGAAGAGAAGCAGGAATGATCTGACAGCATGTCTGATACTCAGTTGAAGTGGAGGGCGAAATCTAGAATATTGCTCAGGTGTGGTGTGGATGGTGGCGGCAGGTGTCTCTCCTAACCAGATGAGGGGATATTTTCCAGTGTAGTTGCTTCTTTGATGATAACTAACACGATTTTGACCCTGAGTGGAACTCTCTGTCTGTTAGCATCATCACAGGGTGAATGCCAAGTCCTTCCTTTGCATTCCTACTTAACTCCCCACACAGAGTAGTCCCCGAAAACGAGTGGTGGAGCTAGCATCTGTTTATGCTGTGAAAGGGACGTCTGTGGTCAAATAATGGAAACTATGTAATGCTCTGTGACTCAGCCCTGAAACTTTCTAAGGACCTACAATATCCACGAAAGCCTTCTTAGTCTGAAAACATTACTCTAAATCCTCTTTAAGTCTGACCATTTCTAGGATTTTGTTCAAAGTATGGTTTTATGATTTCAGATTTTTAAATGGACACATATCTGTACATCTTTATAAAGTACAGTGTGAAAATTTGATACATGTGTAAAATCTGCAGTGCTCATTCAGCGTAATTAGTGTGTTTGTGTTCTGAAGTCCATAGAGGAAAATGCTGAGAACAGAGCTCTGAACAGTGGCTCATTCTAAAGGGAAGCTGGAGTGTGTGCAGGATTCCTGTGTGGTGACTTTTTGTGAGCGTCATCTCATAATCATGACGTGGTTATGCGGCTGTCACTGCTAAATTCTCTTCTCCTTATTCTCCACAGTGAAGAGAGAGCTTAGGATCCAAGTGGAACTTCTTTGGATAACTTACTACAAATTGATGTTACAATGAAGCCTTGTTCTCTGAAAGAGATAAAAAGCTCACTTTTGGCCTCATAGGGGTCTGCAGAGACCCAGATAACCATGATAACAAGAAGTTCTTGTGCCATGGCAAAACTTTGGAGAGCTTAGTAGCCTTTCACATCAAAAGGAAAGTCAGTGAAGAGAAGACAAGTGTTTTCTTAACATAATGCTAATGATCAGAGATACAAAGTTCCTACCTGAAAGATTATTACTTTAAAAATAAGAAAATATTCCTTTGTGTTTTATGGTGAGCTAGACTTACAATTGTTCTCAATAAAAAATATTTCATTTAAAGGAAAGATTATACAAAAACAATTATGTTAGACTCCATCGCTATTAACAATGCTTATTTGCAAGAGTGATGACTGATATGAACTGAAATCTTGCAGGATGAAGTTTTAAAGGACTGAATGCAAATAGCTTGACTAAGAAATCCTGTTTTATGTATGGAGTGAGGAGTAAGTCAGAACTGGGAGAATTGTTGGACAATGGAGAAGAGCCATAGCCACCATCGGCATATGATTTTGGTGCTAATCTGAGACCTGACGCCCTAGTTTTCTCACCCTGAAGACTTCTTCTCAGATTGTACTTTTTCAAGGGACTGGAATATATGTGAACATTGTGGGTAAAAACTAAAGTCAATGGGTCTGTAGAGTCAGATATACTGTAGGGTTAGGAAAAGTTTTTGATTGTTCCATTAAAAATTTGCAATGAAGTTTGAAAGTGGCATTATGAAAACTACAGTCATGTTTCATTAAATTTATGTGAAGTCATAGTGAACATCACAAATCATTAAAGATTACTGAATAGCCGTGAAAAGGTGGTTACATAAGAAACACACTGCTTATGAAATATACAAAGTTCTCATTTTTAAAGCTATAACTATGAATGCTATGCGGTGATGTGCCTCTCAACATATATTTGTTATTATAATTTTCTTGCTGACATGGGATTGGTGAAATAGTTTATCTGATCAGTTTGTGCAACAAAGTACATTTCATTTGGAATTGAGAAACTCAGATCTCCAAGCTTAAGAACTTGGAGAAGAAGGAGCTGATGGAAGTCTCTGAACTCCCAGCATGCACTAGACATTTTCTAGCTTCCTTACAAGTGCTCATGTTTAAACTTCATGAACCACAGCCCTGTAGGCAGAGACCAGGAAAGCTGGAAGAGAAAATTATCCAAGTTCACAAAATTGCTCTGCTGTGTAGTCACAGACCAGGAAGAAGTTGCCCACGTTCACAAAGTTGCTCAGTGGTGGGGATATTACTCTGGCCACAAACATTCGCTTCATTTGAATAGAGGTTGCCGCTTACACATGCAGATTGTGCATTCATTCCCAGGGCTCTGCTCAGTTTCCTTAGAAAGCAAATGTAGGGAAGGTGCATTGAGTTGCTACGCCAAGAAAACAGGGTTCTGGAATATCTGTAATCCAAAAACAGAGAGGCTCATTCTTTCAAAAGTGAAACTTGTTTTAGCTGTACCTTATGCTACATAGGTTAAGAAAGTTAGAAATAAAAAGACCTATTTGTGCTTGGGTTAGGGCCAGGAGGAGTGTCAGAGAAATTAGGTAACATATATTATCTCTACAACTCCCTAGATATGTTATTCTGAGAAGGATGTTTCAACCTTCATGGGCCTAAATTTTCATCATTCTTTTCTAGCATGAAGTGAAGAGAATAAAAAACATAAAATATTTTTTAAGTCATAAAACATATTCCAAGATTATTGCTATTTTGCAGTTCATGTCTTTATATATAAGCAAATCTTTACACAAGATATTAAAGATCTTTAGATTTAAAGGTGTTAAGTTCTTTAACATTATTCTTGTTAGCCTGTAGTTTAGTGGGAAGAGATACCTTTTCTTCCATCAAATTCTGTTCCAGTAAGTTTATTTGAAACCTTTAATCCCAGCACTTGGGAAGCAGAGGCAGGTGGATCTCTGTGAGTTCCAGGCCAGCCTGGTCTATACAGTGAGATCTAGGCCAGCTGCTTAGGTGGTAGCATCACCTCATTCTCTGCCACTGTCTCTCATTTTCTTAATAAAAGGGTAGGTGATATTGTTGTGATAGGCTACAGCAAGAAAGTTATTTTCCTAAGGTAGTTGATTCCTTCAAGTTTGATCAAAATTCAAAACCAGAGAGGTCCAAATATTGCATGACCAGAGTGTCAATGGGAGCCAACTAGCACCTTCTTGGGTAGGATGCTGCATCTTCTGGACCAACAGAAAGGTTTGCCTTTCATAAGTAAAAAAACATTTCTGTCCTACAAGTTAATCTTTTAGTGTGATACTTTCCTTACACTACTTTCAGTGAATCAATTTTCGAGATGTCAAGGCAGAGAGAAAAAGAGATGTGAGAGGACAGAGAAAGAGAGAGAGATTCTCAGACACCTGAAATTTCCTCCCCTTCCAGTATCTTAGGTGTTCAGACTTCAGCCGGCTTTTCTTATCCCCAAATCCTTGACATAAAGTCATCTTGTAATTCAAAGTTGGAGCAGAGAACAGAGACTCTATAGGCTGGTGAGAAAGACAAAATTCTTCCTACTTTGCAGAACCAGCCTGGATTTGTTAACCATAATTGAGTTAACCATAATTGAGAATTGTAGTCATTATCTAGACAATTTGGCTAGAACTGAGTCTTCACTTCTTCCATGTTCTTTTAAATATATCGTCCTGCCTGGAATGTCATGACCACTCAGGTAAACAATTCTGTTCACTTTGGGAGTAGGGTAGGCAAAGCCTCAGCATAAACTGAGGAAAGTATCCCAGTCTCCAACTTCTAAGGATTCTGCACATTTCCTCATCTGTTGTTTGCTTGTTGGATGAATAACTAGTGGACCATAATATTAAACTTGTGGCTTCCGAACACACAAAGGCCACCAGTTATGTCTTGACATCAAGATTGCTTTTGGAAATGATGTTAGTGGTGCTATTATGAGGTAATAGGAATTGTGTCCACATGTGGAGGTGAGCTTTGAGAGGAAATCTCAGGTTATGCTCAACCTCCAAAGCAAGCCATTGCATACCTTGAAGGATTGCTGACATTTATTCCATATTCCTTAAAAGCTCTCCATCTATCAGAGACAATGATGAGAATGGTCGAAATATATAAAAAGTACACACAACTATCTATTTGTTAAAATATGGCTTTATAAGGTTAAGGTTAATAAGAAAAGTACTATCTTCATTCTAAGATGTCTTACAGTGTGAGGAGCATTTCGTGCATAGGTCCTCCCTGAGCAGTACATTGGGCATTGGCTTGATTTGTTTCATTGATAGAATGAGGAGAGTGTAGAAAATCGCTTTTTAACTTTCATATAAAGCTGCAGGCATGACAGGAAGTAAATTTAAAAACATTATAAGAAGCTTAGCATGATGTCTTTGAGGCTCCTGTGGCCATTAAACACTTTGAAACACAATAACATTTCTTTTCTCTCTCATGATTGCATGATACTGAAGCATGGACATTTCCATTAAGTCACTGCAGATCATAGCAACAATTAGGATCCACTACTTCATATCCTAAAATGTTTCCCTCTGATGTTTTGGTGAATGGGGCTGGAGTGGCTATGGAAGGGAGCATGCTATTGATTGTGTGGCTCCTATAACACAGAGTAAGTGATAAACAGATTTGGGAGGGAGGTGACTCAAGGATGGGCCATGTGGCAAAAGCAACAGACAGACAAGATGATCATGATGTCCATGGAGCACATTCCTACGCTAGCACAGGTGTCAAGGCAAGATGGAAGATGCTGGTCTAACAGACTGCATTAGTCTGCTGAGCAACACGCCCACGTCTCCACAGAGTAGCATTTTTATTGCAGTATGACTTTCTTGGAAAATGAACAAAACTTTAAATAAATCACAATTACTTATTGCTTAGTATTTGAGATAATAAATTCTTTAGTTTATCAGTACCTCACAGCCTTCAAATGTGCATTCTTCAAATAGCTTCAATTACATATATATTCTTTCTCCTGAACAATAAATTATTCTTTTCAAAAATGAAAAAAAGAAAAGGTACAGAATTTCAAAGCAAAGAAAAAAACATATATTTTAAACATTTATCTTAAACTTATATGGAAACAATTCTCTATGTTAGATGTTTAAATATAAATAATAAATGACATTATGTTATTTACAATGTTATACAGTAGGTTGAGAGAGTAAAAACTACCATTAACTCATAAAGACAATAAATGATTTGAGAAAACATCCAAGTACTATACAGTATGTATTTACAAAAGAATATATAATAGAACTTGTGATGTGTGGCCATTTCCTTTTGTCTACATTTCTACATAGTGTTTCATGGATCTTTGTGGATAGAAATCTCTGTGGATGGCAGAATGTAACCAGGTCTAAAAGGTAAGACCAGATCTTCCTTATTCACCAAAATGAGCCATATATTTTAACCTCAGATCTAAGAGAGGAATAGATACTGAGCAAGTTACCCTGGATAGACTCCACCTGTATAGACAGGACACGGACACAAGAAAGAGATGGCATGCTGCTGCTTGAAATACATTCTCTCCTACACAGAGGACCCTTCTGTACAAAGCTGAAGGCTGTCCACCAGGCACTCTTGCGGGTAGGTGGAGGACAGGAGGGAAAAGCAGAACAGAAAACAAATCTTGAGTGAGTGAAAAAGGAGTTTGGTGTCAACTATACCACCATGATATAACACTTTGTGGTTCTGTTTTTCAGACCCAGGAAAGAAAGTTAATGTCAATTTCTGAACAATTTCTATTCTGTTAAAACCCAAGACATCTCCTCACATTCTGGGAACGCAGGTGTGCATTCCTTTGCATTGCCACAGCTCTGCCGGCTTTCATAAATGGTGGCCGAGAGTGACGCGGCAGTGAAGCTTGGCAGAGATGCCCCTGGGAACACAAATCTGGAGGCTACAACAGTAGCTCTGAGCAGTCAGGTGGTCTTTCTTATGAAGGAAGCACTTGTTCTTTGGGAGAACAGGCTGTCACCACTAATATGACCTCCATGGGTTGCCAGAACCAGCAGAGGAAAAAGAATTCACATGTATTTGCAATTTTCAGATTTACAGAAATTCTCATACTCAGTACAGTGCTGCTTGTTGTTTTTATCAGAAGTCTATTTACTTTTCAGAAGGGGCTGTCTTAACATTCCAATGAACAATACACTTGGAATAGAATTTTTAAAAAATAACAGTAGAGGTTTCTTCATTGAAAAACTACAGAATGAATCAAGGCCTTCAAAGGCAAGGTTATAATAATTTAAAGACCCTCTTCATGCTTACTGTCCTTTTCTCCATATTATGAGCTGACTAATCTCTGCAGATCTGGGAAATCAGTGCAGCCTTCTACTTGACAGAGGTTCCTCCGTGCAGGTTAAAAAGCAAAGGAGGATAACGTTGAGCACAGAGAAAGTGGCGTATGAATCATGGCAGGAAATGAGAGATATCAAATGGTAAGAGTAACATCAAGGAACTGCAAACAGCTTCTCAGTAGATCTTAGAAAAGTGAAGGCGTATGACAACACGGACTCATGGGCAGCCTGAAGGTTTCTTCTAAGACCTATTTGCATGTCATTTCCCCCTTTGAATTTGTAACATAAAAATTTGATAAAGAAATAGATTCAGCTTAACTGGAAACAAGAAACAATAATTGTCACGGATTTTTCGAGCCCCCATTAACCTGTTTTCCATTTTGCCCCATGACTCCTGGGTGCCTACTTGGAACTTCAGCAAGTTCCAGCCCTGACTGACAGATATATCAGGCAGGGCATACAATGGGGTCTGCATTTTTTTTCTTTACTTTCTTTTTTTCATTCATTAGCAGTAATTCAAATGTTAATACCTATAAACCATCACTGGATTTACAGTCACAAGAGAACAAAGTTTAAACCAATCTGAGTCCTGCTTTTGTGGTAGTGTGGGAAAAATGAAGAGAAGGGGAGTGGAAGATACAGGCTGTCACTAGAGAGATCAGTCCACGGGTGAGGGTCACGTCCGTAAGTAATGGTGCCATCCTCCCAACACTACTGACGTTTCTTAGTGAGGCCTCACTGTGGAAAGTTCCTGCTAATCACAAATCACATGCACATTGGCCATTCCTGGCAAAAAAAGATTCATGCATAGTTATGACTTAAGACAATGTTGAAACACAAGAGAAACATCGTAGGAAGAAAGGAGTGGTCAACCAAACTAAGGTGTCAGCTGGATCACACAGCTGCTCTCCCCCCGTGATTTCTACGTTAATTCTTTCTAAACACCCTACCACTGGAACATTTTCCTACAAGGATAAACCACTGCTATGTACCATAAGCACATTGCGCTCTAGAAGGAGTTTGGACATTTGGCTGAGTGTGCTCTTGGGGCAGAGGGTTTCATGCTACAATGTGTCTCTTCTGGAGCCCAGAAGACACAGCCAGCCAGTGGGTCCCAAGTCAGTGAAAAATGCAAGTCAGAAAACTATTGCACCTTTATCAGCTGTGGTTAGTTGGTCAACAGATGAGTTGCTGGGTCATTGCCCCCTCCAAAAAGAAAGTAGAACTGAGTCCTTTCTAAGCTGTTAGATTTATCCTGATAGCAAGCCAGATCCCATTCTCTAGGCTATACTTAAAAGTGTTGCTCTTTGCGAAGAACAACAATAATAACAAAACGTTAAAGTCAATGGTAGCTCCTTTTAGCAAGAGCAAGCTGTCTTCTGATTAATAATATAGTTTTTAAAAATCACAGTATTACTTTCTTCCTAATATTTAACATTACTTAATGCAGTTTCTTGCTATATTTAATAGTAGCATGCTGTTGGGTCTACTATTATCTCAGAGCCCAATGAAGCAAATCTTTGGCTGACAGACTAGAGAGAACTCATTTCATATCCCAAAGCAAAGAAAATTTCGTACAAAAGAGAAGAGTATTGGGATGGATGTGCCATTTCAAGACAGTGTTGTTTGGGTGCTACTAGAAGCAAACAGAGGGACAGCTATAAGTCTTGCAAATCATACATCCAGTCAACATCATAATGCAATGCACAGGAGCAGCAAAAACTGAATATATGGGAGACTTTGCTGAAATACTGTGGAAAAGCAATCACTGTAACTGTATAAAACTTGCTCTCGACAGAACATAACATAAAGGCACCATTGATATCTTTCTCGTTTTGAAATACTGTAAAAAATTGCTACATATGGCACATAACACATTTTACATACATATATTTAATTTATAAAAGTTTTTTCCTGTTTACTATTTGCAGAACTGCTAAAATAAAATAAATTGTTTAATTTAAGGTGGAATACTTTATTATATAAAATAAAGTTTTACAGGTGAATCTATGTGTTTATTTGACTTTTATACAGCGATAGGGTCTTGGTTAGCAATTACACTAGACAGCCTGGCCTGTAATTCTTCCTGTGTGGAGAAGCGGCCCGCTGGGTTAGTCCTGCTGTCAGCCAGGCGGAAGGCAGGGGTCGCCGCCTCAAGACTGGCTGCCAGGGGGTTCTGTATTCCCAGGAATGGTGTGTCTTCACCTACTCTTTCGTCTTCGGTTTCACTCTCTGAGTTACTGCTCACAGAGCTTGTGTTGCTGTCCATTTCCAACCTGTTGGCAATGTGGCCATTAGGCTTGGTTCTTTTGGCCCGCCGGCTGTTGGCGAGTTTCTTAACAGGCTCTTGAGCTGGCTCATACTCCTGGGTCGTTTCATATTCCTCATCCTCCACTACCCTCAAAGGGCTGGGCGGGAGGCTGGCACTCTCATGTGCAGGATTGTGATGGAAAGAGTTGACTTGCTGAGGGTGGTGGTCATATTTCTTTTCCCGCAGCCTCGGTGGTGTCACGAGAAGCAGTGGTCTCTCTTCCTCTACAAAGGGGCTGACTGCCATGGAGGGCATAGACACCGTCATGCTGGACACGGGTGGAGACATTTCCGAAGGGGGTGATTTGGGGGAGCTTGGCGTGTGGAAATCTACAGGTGACATACGAGCCGGGGTGGTCATGGCTGATACATACCTGTGTAAGCACAGAATACCCTGCATGAGTATGGTGGAATAAGAGGCGTGTTAATAGGGAGGGGAAGGGGACAGAGTTCACCACAGGATATAGTCAGAGAACAAGTCTTTGCATACTTCTTAGACTTTACGCTAGAAGTTCAGCACCCTTGGAACCTAGCGTCATAAACCGTACAGGAGTCATGCAACCATCAGCTAAATCATCTATCTCGTTAAAGCTTTGGGGAGTTTTAATCTCATCATGAGTTTAGGGAAAAGCATGTGAGCCAAGAAAACAGGGCTCCCAAGAACCTCTCAGCTTATAAAGACCAAGGCTCAGGGACTTAGGAGGGAAAGAAGTATTCTTAAATACTATACCTTCCTAAAGGCCAAGGGGTCTTAGAGAATGAAGCCCAAATGGGGAATGGAGGAAGATCTAAGATGAGTTGCTGATAGCTGGATCTGCATGCATTTGGATCTGTGTGCCTTGTTTCTCCTTAGCTCAGCTATAAGGTTATGTCTTATGAAAAAAAAAGAGCATAGTGACTTAAGATTTATTCCTGATAACAGTGTAATACATTTGTGTGATTTTCATTGTTTTCATGAAATGCTACTAGTTGACAATCAATTTTCAACTGGTCATTTCAGAGTGCAGTACATTCAAAGGTCAGCCTGGGAAAAACCTTGATTTGGTTTCATGTTACCACAGTGGAGACTAACTACAGTCTCCTGTCTACCTCTCTTCCAGATCCCACCACTGCATCAGCCTTGGTTCCCTCAAAGGAGTGCCTGCAAAGATCCACTCTGGGTCCAGTAAGCTTCTGCAGCTACACAGGGGCTGTTACCTTAAGCCATGCCACGTCTGATAAGAGTGCCACCTTCACCAACAGGACACTGCATGACTTCTTTCTGGTACCACGTCTTCTTTCCCTGTCTTTTGGTGCTGAGGTGAGTCACATTTCTCAGCTTTTGATAAAAATGTTTCCAATGACTAGCACTAAGAGACTCTTCTTTGCACTGACACTCACAGAGTCTAATTTGATGTGATCTGTGATGACACAGGATCTTGCTCTCTGAACTCCAACTAACAGGAAGAGGAAGCCTATTTAACTTTCCCACTTGTTCAAGATTCATAGCAATGTGGAGGTGAGATCCAGCTGGGTCTAAAACTGGAAAGTGTTTCAGAAATTGAAATATTCATGGCTCAAGTCTGAAGACATTTTGTTTTGGGGGTACTTAAATTCGGCCCTTTGAGAAATGCTAATCCATGCAGCCATCACATACAAATGATTCATCTGTTTCTCCCATGGTCTTTCTGTTCATGTCTAGTTTTTAGTTCTAGTAGTATATGGATGATGCCAGGAAGTCTCCTCCAGCAGTGACAACCCTCAAAGACAGGCTGTCATGATGAGGATAGATTTCATCTGACCTCCTTTGCATGCTTCAAGAGGACTGAATTGAAATGGACAGACTTCAGCATGTAAAAATATAGCTACATGATATTGACTAACATTCTGAGTCAGTTTTAGACCCTACTCTTCCATAGATGTGTGGTAAGGAGAATACTAATTTCATAAGTTCTTCCTCTTCTGAAACCACTTTGGGGGTAAGGTAAGATGTGATCAGCAGGCACTCTGACCTGAAAGCCCCCAGTGGGGTCTTCATTGCTCTGCTTCTATGTCCATAAGTGAAAGGTCTTTCAAAATCATCTCCACCCATATAACAGCCCAGTACACAGGGGCATTGGTGTTATATTGATCTTTTAGTAAATGGACGAGGATGAGACTGAGATAACAGCAAGAGGATAAAACCCCCTGGGTCGGAAAACCAAGTAAGACACTGCAGATGGGCTAAAAAGCTGTACCTTTCTTCCAGCAGAGGTGAAAATGGATAAAGAGAATATAAATGCAATATTCCTAGTTAATGCCTCTTCCAATTTACTTTCTTCCATTCGGTATTTTGCCTTTGTAGTTATTTTTCCATTCCAGCTCAATTTCTCCCAAAAGGAAATGTAAATATTCTGGAATAAAGGGTCATACGCAGGAAATATCTGCTTTGAAAATCACCCATGAAAACTGCCTGACTCAGCATACAAGGCATTTATTTATGCATCACTTCTTGGAATTTCATAAAAGGGATACTATGTGATGGAACACAAGCAAGTGCTCCCTCATGACCGTCAGCAGTGACATAACCCTTGACTTGATTTGATTAAGTCTACAGGTAGGAGATCTAGCACATGACAGCATGAGGCCAGGTCAGTCACTGAGGTAGGGTTTGGACGGTTGAGCAACTGAGATTAGAGGAGGGTCCCGAGGAAAGTGGGACTCAAAGTGAATCTGCCTTTATGGTCAGGTCTTAGAATTCCAGCCCGCTGCACCTGCTGCAGCACATTGCTCAGCTCTGTAGGAGTCTGTTGCCTGTCAGCCCCTGGGATGATGGGAGATGCTCAGAAGAAAGGCATCAGTCAAATTAGGGGATGACTCTGTCAACCAGGTGTACCAGGAAACTGATGCCCCTTGTCCTAAATGGATATATTTCCTTAGGTGAGATGCTCTCAGGGTTCGCTTACTGAGTAAGGTTCTCCTTTGCAGTACCTCTGCCCTTCGGTTTTACCTTTCACTATGAGGAGAGTCTCGGTAGGAGTCAGGGGTTTCTCTGGCATGCCTGAGGAAGCTGTTACATTCCCGAGGACCTCCCAGGCCATGAAGACGTCCACGTGGGCCCCCACTTGGGCTGCTGTGCCTACTGTTTTCTACTGATGACATCATGATTACAGAGTGGCTTTCTGAAATGATGCTTTCTGTACGACCGTTACTCCAGCTACGGGGGAGGGGGGGAAACATGAGAAGCAGTGAGATAGGTTTACTTAATTATACACAGAAATTGCAATGAACTCTGAAAATGAAAATGACTCTGGAAAATATTTCATAATATTGGTGCATCAGTAGCCCAGAACTGATCCTTGCTATAGATCCTTGCTATAGAGAGAATCGTGATTAAGGTTGGTTTTGTGAACAGGCAGTTTATGTATTTTCTCATTTACTCCATAAGTATTTATCAATTGCCACCATGTATTAAGTATTACTGGAGCTTCGCTGCTCTTGAGTGGCTTGGGTTAAGTAAAGGCATTGCTTGAGGCAGTACTTTGGGAAGTCTGGCACTGCTGTGGGTAGACTGCAGTCAGCATGTGATTACCAGGACATCTGAGAACTGAGGGCTCAGCTACTTTGACTGCTCCAGTTCCCAGGTGTCATTTCCCCTGGAGTTCAAGTTTTGGAAGTCAACTTTGAAGAATTACACAGAATCTAGACACATTTTCCCAGTGTAGCAATTCAGTAAGCAGCATAGTGGGAGTCAAGACATTTTCTAGGCTGGGAAACAGCAAACCTGTGAGGTAGGTATTTTTTTTTTTTTACCACTTTTTATTGTTTATTTTTAATGGAAAAACTAGGCTCGGGCTCTTCTAGGCAGAAGCAACTGACAGCCCAAATCTGTTGATATTCAAAGATGTTGTATGTTACTGCCTCCTAAGCATCTCCTTTTCCTTTCTTTAGAAATTGGAAGCAAAGGTTAATGCACAAAAAAACTTGATTATTATGAAATGCTATTGGAATTTTTTTATCTTACCTGTGACTCGGAGTTTGGGTGACAGTTGTAGAGTGATGAGCTGTTGAAGTATAATGACTGGTGGAAAATGATGTCTCCGCTTCTCTCTCAGCAACATGCTCGCTGGAGATGACGTTTTTAGAGACATATTGCTGGATAAACAAAGAGACACAACTTTAAGTTTCGTGTAAATAAAAACATTAATTTACTAATCTAGGCAGAAATCTGTTTGCAAGTCTGTTCACGACAGCTTTCTTCTCTCCAGTGGCCCATCAGCAAATTCTCTTGACCACTGACTTTCAGGTTAGATAAATGGAGTGAAAAAATACTTCCTGGGTGTTTGCACAAGATAGCTCCTAAAATCACAGCCACATCTCTTCTCCTTTCCTAGCGTCAACAAGAATTTGACACAAATTCTGTCCAATATTCATTTTCGTCAGGATTGTTTTAGGTTTAAAAAAAAAACCCTGATAACTTAGTGAAACAAACATATACGGATAGCGTGCCTTGTTTCCAAATTCAAATGACTAGAAATTTTAAAGTTTCAATTTTAGATCTTTCTTTTTGAATTTCATAGTACCTATGTTGCCTTACTGATTTTTAAATATTTTAATTTGTCATCAGTGATAAGTCAAATAAAGTACTAAAAAATTTGAAAGGCTTACAATAATTGTCAAGGCCTTAACAAAGTGCATACTATACCTAGGACATTATGTTTAGTACCATCAAAACTCAGTAGCTATGATAGTTTCCTGTCATCGAGAAGCTATATTTAAAAGTTTTTGAAGCTGTGTTAAATACTGTTTATATTTCTAACAAATTAAGTCACAGGAAAGGAATGCAAAGGAGTATTTGCTAGCCAGGCTGCTTCACAGTCAGCTGAGCTGTGCAGTCTAAAGAATCTGCTCTTCAGAGAAGCCTGAAATACACAACTTGAATCATACTTCACAGGCTAGCTCTTTCTGTTTACGGAAGTACTCTTCCATCTGCATCTTCCTGGGAACAGCAGCTACCTTGCTAACGGTGCAAAGTGAGCTGCTTCTGTTGAATGCCCACTCTATTTTTGCTTCTTGGAGGCAACCTGAACCCAGTGAATCTAACAAAAAGAATATTTAACAATTACTGAGCACGCTAAGGTGCACAGGCTTCATGTATATTATTTTATTTAATGAAGTGGGTATTATTTTTAGGCCTGTTATCATAATGAGAGGGTTACCTATAGTTATATCAGTTGTAATCCATATAGTCATGGTCCAACAGGGTACTGGAAGTCTGTGTGATGAATCTTGGTGATAAGATAGTAACCATTAACTCTAGACTTGAGTCTATGATACAGCTTCTCCACTCAAAACACCTTCTCTTACAGGACAGATGTGGTAATGCAATACAATTTTTTTGGTCTTTTTTGAGACAGGGTCTCCTTGTAGCCCCAGCTGTCCTGGAACTCACTATATAGACCAGGCTGGCCTCGAACTCACAAAGATCCGCCCGCCTCTGCCTCCCAAGTGCTGGGATTAAAGACGTGTGCCACCACACCCGGCGCAATACAATTTTTTTAAGCTTTTATTTTATTTTTTTAATGTGTATGAGTGTATTGTTTGCATGTGTATGTAAGTGCACCCGTACTGTGCGATGCCTGCTGAGATCAGAAGAGGGCATCGGATCCCCTGGAACTGAAATTAGTGGGTGCTGGTAATCAAACCTAGGTCCTCTGCAAGAGAAGTCAGTGCTCTTAACCGCTGAGCCATCTCTCCAGCCCTGCAATACAAATTTTAACCTACATCTATTTTTGAAACTATGTATTAGAGAGGAAGAATGATGTTACGCTCAAACACAAAGGGCAACACTTTAAAAGCCAAGAGGTCTGGGAATAGCTCTGGTCTTTATTGAGGAAGAGAGGTTTGGAAGATGATATGTAAACAGTCTCAGCACAGAAGAGTCTATGATCTAGTCAAATTTAAGAGGCAAGTGCTTGGCAAAGTACAAACACAATATTTGAGTGATTAAGGACACATTTCATCTGGAGGACCTGACAGATGAGGGCCTGATGGAAGGAGCCAGGGACTAAGCAAATGCTGCAGTCTCCTGGTTTTGCTCCTGTAAGCCAGTTTAATAAGTTCCCTACCTTTCCATGCCCTGATTTCCTCCTTTGGAAATTAGAACCACCAAATCATACGCACCATGGAGGACCCTTAATGAAAATACCTCAAAGCCCTATGCTTGGTTTGTTATGGATCAATTGTATACTACAGTAGCCTTCATTTACAAATTATTATAAATAAAAATTCCTTCTGATTCTTTTATTGATTTTGTTATTTTTTTATTTGTTTTTCTTTCTAGTTATGGTTTCTTTGCGGAACAAACCCAAAGTATTATCTGAGTTCCTTAATGAACCCCGCATATGAGAAAAAAAGCACTGATTTTATAATAACCAAGTTCACGTCACAGTAGCTTTCGGTATTTTCTTTTGGTGAAACCTTGGCTTCCTGGAAGCCCTGGTGGTTAATGGCAGCAGTTAAAAGCCTAAGAGCTTTAGAAAATAAATATCGAGGTGCCTGAACAGCAAAGAGATGCTTGGCTTCTCTGTTGGTCAGAGTCAACATACATTCACCAACTGTACGTTCTCTGGTGGTGGGTTGGGATGGTGAGGGCCGTTGGCTATGTTCACCATGTTGTTCCGCTCTGATCGAAGGCTCTGACGAAGACGATCATGAAGCTTTTTCCGCTGTTTTCTGGATATGAAAAAGGGAGTGTTTATTTGTTCATATTGTTTACATTTTTTAGTACAGCCGCACCTCTATTTTACTAATACTAATGAGGAACTCGGGGCAGTGAATTGGTGGTGAGGATGAGGGAAGGGATATAGAACAAATCTTCAGAAAGCAGATTTTAATACCTGGATAGAATTCTTATAGAAATCTAGCAATTGTACTAAGGGAAAATTTAAAAATGAGAAAACAAGTGTTGATATTGGGCTAAAATCCCAACTTTCACAGTACACATTTTTGTCTAAGTCCTATAGATGGCCATTGGTTTTACATACTTTGTGCTATGAAATTGATAAGGCTGATTCCATGTATAGATTTTTCCCATGGAGTTCTTAAGAATATGAAGTTCACTTTAGATCTGTACATTTTGCATAGTCACTGTGTGTGCATATGGCACGAGTATGCATGGGACTACAGACATATTTTGCCATTACATACTGGTAAAAGAGTAACATGACTGTATAATTGCAATGCTTTCATATAACTGGGTGGTAAATATTGAGATTTGAATCTAATTACACATAGGCCGTCAAATCCTGGCAACATGCTAAACCATGGGCTGGTGTGAAAACACAATCCAGGCCCTTGATTTTGTGGCATGAAATAACATTATTTTTGTTGACTAGTTCAACATTCAGATAGATCATGACATTTCTGTGACTAATTTTGACAAGAAAATACTGTGTCATGAGAAAAAACATACAAAAATCCTGTGGACTGAGAATTATCACTACACTTGAAGTGGAAGTCAAATGTGGGTGGGAACGTGAAGGAAGCCATGTCAGACATGGAAACCTGCAAAAGCCACACACATGGACTACATACGTATTTTAAGACTTTCTCTAACTCTTTTTAGGCCAGTTTTGCTTGCTTTACCTTTCACAACGATCCTTTGTACACCACACATTTTGAGAGCATTTACTGTAGACCTAACTAAACAGAATTGAAATGCTATCACTTTAACTTTAGAAAAGTATGTTTCAAATGCCATAAAGTATCTCCTTTATTTCTTCAGTTTCTGTACAAGATGGACTCATCCTCAGTTACTGTACGCCAAAAGCATCTTGGCATTTATGGTCCTAGTAGGTGAGGCCTATGTGGGACTCTAGGCTTCCATACAAGCCTGTCATTCCAAACCTTTATCCATTTACAGGGCCTGGGTCATTTAGAAATGTTCCCTTTCACATAAATAGATGAAGATTTCCAATGTCTGTGACTGGGAAAGGGTCACAAAATGCATTACTCGATGAGAAAGGATAGGGGCAAGTCCCTGTGCTCTTTTGCCCTCCAAGCCTGGGGCATAAAACCTGGCACTGCAGACCCCTGGCTGTCTAAACTGCCTCTGCGCCCCAGGGAGTGGGAAGTGCCAAGGGGGAAGGTTTACTTGGTCTTGCAGTAGGCCACCACACACATGATGCCGACCACCAGCAGGGCGATACAGATGCCTGTTATTGTCAGGACTCTCTTCTGATAGAGCTCCTCCGCTTCTGGAAAGGGGCAAGAGCAGATGTCACCAAGGTCATTTACAGTCACCAGGAGTTACCACCACTGAACAACTGGCATGCTGCATGACACTGTCCATGTCCACAAGATTATGAGTACTTGACAGTTCTTTACATTTACACATTTGTCTAAGGTACAACATGCTATGTGCTATACTTTAAGCACAAATAACAAGCCAGCTGGCCATTGAAAGTAAAAATGTTGTATTTTACAATTACTCTAATTATGAACTCTAGATATGTATGATATTAAATGGAGAATCATAAACATTCATTATAGAATAATGATTTGGTTAAAACTAAACAGCTTTTATTCTTTTTGTTAAATACCTTACAAAAAAATCTCTTGCAAAGACAACAGGAATCAATATCGATAAAAGGAGCTGGGATTGACAACACTGAGACCCACCATCCCTCTTTTCTCCATTTACCACCCTCTACCCCTGACCTCTTTCCATTTCCCCACGTTCTACGTGTTGTCACTTCATATCCAGTGGTCTTTACAGAGATGTTTCTAGCTTAAATAATATTAAATTAAAAGATTTTTTAAAACATGAACTTGGCTTGTGGTTAGCAATTAAGGCAAGAGCCCCATGGTTTAGCAGTAGAACAGGCAACATAAGAGAAGTCGGGCACCATGTCTGAGAAAACTCAGCATGACGGTTAGAATATTCTGGGGCCAAAGGGAAATTCTGGTCTTTAGTGGAAAAATGGTTATTGCCTCATTGTTGAACTTAGAAAGCATATTTGTGTTAAGAGGTCTGTCACCAACACAAATGATATACAGTTTGGACTAGATTGCACATTCTTGTATGAACCAACTTGGATATTCTAAGGAAGGGCGGTGCTCAGAATGCTGAGCCAAAGGTACTACCATACTCCAAATGCAGTAAGTCTGTAATTTATGGATTTTTTTAATTTGTGAATTAGTTTCTTTGGAGGATGACTTCATTATATAAGGTAAGTCAGGCTGTTAACACGATTTGTAGGCTTAATTGGGACACTGATCTCTTAGGAACTGTCCTTCCAATAATCTAATTTAGATTTATTGGAAGATCTTCACAAGTTTGCTTAGAAAGTGAACTTACCTGGCACAAAGTAGCCAGTGTAAATGGTTTGTCTGCTGTTAAAATAATTAATAGCCTGATCAAGAAGTGCAGACCATGGAGCCGCCTTATCCGAGCATCAATAAGGGCCCCACAAAAAGTATTTCCAGCACATGCTTCCAATCTCAACGGCTACACCTTTCTCTTTGTGGAGAAAGGGCAAGTCACAGGAAGTTTTCTTGAAATGAAAAAGTGAACTTTAATTTCTAGCGTATGGTGGACCTTATCACAAAACCAAACATTTCCTACAAGCCAAGTCCATGGCAATCAAATTTCAGTTAACAGGTCAAGAACATTGTCAAATCAAATTAATAGAGCACTGATTATTAAGAGGAGAACAGAAGTCAGTGGGTAAAAGGCTAGGATGCCGAAGAGATTATACAAAAACAAACTGAGAGGGATTGAGGTAAAAAGGAAAAACAAACCGAGAGGACAGACAGACTGACAGAATGACAGAACGAGGAAGTCAAGTACAAGGGAAAAACAAGGTTAAAAGTTAGGGAGCCATCTGGAGTCCCTGGCATGCCTAATACTAAGGGGAGAAAAATAAAGAAAAGAAAACCAGGGGGAAGAGATGCGTGGGGGGAGGACAGGATGCAAAGTGGGAAGGAAGGGTTGTCCCATACAGCATAACTCCTAACCCAGGCTAGCCGTGATGTGGAAGCCATGATTAGAAAGCAAAGCGGTGGTGCACTGCGGTGCCACAATATGCAGGAGACATACAGTCGATGTCACAGATGTGTGTGTGTGTGTGTGTGTGTGTGTGTGTGTGTGTGTGTGTGAAGACACAGTGTCTATGTCACATGTGTGTGTGTGTGTGTGTGTGTGTGTGTGTGTGTGTGTGTGTGTGTGTGAGCTACCAAAGTCTAACAAGGCCATAGGAGTGCTTATTTGATAATTCGTCATGTTGGATGCCTCCCCACCAACTCTGCAGAGTCACAGGACAGGGTGTTAGTTTTTATGAGGTATTCTGCGAGTTGATGCCCCTGTCGCCTCCCGCCCTGACCTTGGAATCCTGAGTGCCTTTTAGTATGTGTTCAAGAAACAGAGGTCTCCCTCACTGCTCCTTCATGGGGCTCCTTCACATGGCACATGGTGGATAAGAAAAACAGTGTTGGTATTACCGCCCAGAGGCAGTTCCCTGCTTTCTGATTTCATTTATTATACCTTTTACTTTTAACTGGTGAAACTTGGCTGTAGGTGTGTTTCAGAGGCTGTATGCTTGTCTGGCACGTATGAGGTCTTGCGTTCAATTTCCAAGGTCCACAAAGGAGGACGTGAAATCCTTGGTTCACTTTTCCACTGCCATCTTAATACCTTTCCTTTAGAGAAAGCTAGAGAACTGTTTGCTCCTACACACTTCAGGAAAAATGGAAACCCACACAAGGATTGAAGGGGGCGTTGTGGGGACACTCAGCAATTCTTCTGATTGCTGACTGGGAAAGATGCGGTTGAGCTGGGTTTGTGAACTCCTGGCATCTGCTAACTGGCTTATTTGTCCCACTGCTTGTCAGTAAAACAATTATTTCATGGGAATAATGAGAGAACTCAAAAAAGGGCAAAGGATAAAAGTGCTAAAGGAAACCAATTAAAGGCAGAGAATCGAGATTTGGGATTAAAATTCGGTATTCACATCAATACTGACTACAAATTTCTCACCTAAATTCCTTGATTTTTTCCTGTCTTTGCTACATCAGGTATCACCTCAATATAAATATTTTAAAGGAAAAATTTTTGACACTAGAAGATTCCTTTAGCCTTTTGCTTTCTTCATCTATTTTATTTTATCTGATCCTTGTCTTGTGTGATAGCACCTATAGGGGCAAGAGCAAACTGGAGATGGTACTGAAAATTTAAAATCAGTCCAAAGGGCAGGTCTGTCTCCAGGGGTAGAAATGCACTGAGTCTTTTTCGCTTGGCTCGATGCACTGTGGTGACTCTGATCTAACACAGTTTTCACTCTGATGGGTCCAGGACAAGAGGCAGAGTCCTTCCCTCTCTTGGTTTTAATTGATCCCTAAGGTTGGGTATTTTTCAGAACACAATGGACTGGTCTTACACACTATGGAGGCTTGGAGATGTGTGCAGGCCAGCACACTGTCCTCCAGAGACTCTTACCAAGGGAGCAACTATATAGCACAGCTATTTTTTATATACATATATTTTTGGTTTTTTGAGACAGGGTGCCCCTGTATCCCCAGTTGGCCAGGAACTTGCTATGTAGACCGGACTGGCCTTGATCTCACAAAGAGCCACTTGCTTCTGCCTCCTCTGAGTACTGAGATTAGAGGTATGTACCATCATGTCTAACAAAGCATAGCTATTTGACTCCATTGTTCAGAAATATAAATATTAATTTTTATATTCAGACATTAAAGCTATAAAGTAGGAGAAATCCTGCTAGAGATAAGGGTAGTTATGAGACTGGAGTTATTTTCTCCTTGGAAAGGTCAGTACTGTGTACTTTTTCAGAAAATGAATCCTTCCTGTCAGGAGAGAAGAAACCCCAACAGTGATTACTTTTGACTTCGTTGTGTTTCCCAATCTTGAGAGTATTTTTCTTATGCAAAAAGGCCCGTTCACATAAATTTGAGCTTTTTTCCTATTAGATCAATAGTTTTAATCTAGAAGTTTTGGGGAAAGAGGAACGGGAAATTGAGATTCTCTCCCTGTATCTGCAGGCAATTGTTTCTGCCTCAAGTTCCTTAAATTATGCTTTGGAGTACATGGTGGTGTTATGAGCCAAAAGGAGACAGCAGAGTGGTGTGCCTTTGCATCACTGAGCCAGATGCATGGCGATCAGAGTGTGCTAATCAGCACACGGCACTGTTGACAAAAGACCCTGTTCAGGGCTGCAGAGCCTTCCCAAAGAGTGACGTGACACTGGTGGAGACGAGTGAGGATCTACAGCCTCCTGTTCCTTCCAACACTGGCCTCTTGCGTAGGTTCACATTTCATCTGCTTTTTTTTTTTTTTTTTTTAACATTTACAGTGCGAAATTATTTATTTGATTACTTGCCTGGGTAATCCTAGTGACTCAAATTTAATTCGATTAGCAATGGAATTTCCACCCACATTCTGCTTTCTAAACTTTCTTACTCATAAGATAGAAGGTGACTAGAGTCATACTTGCATATCACCAGGGAATTTGAGTAATTGTAGTCTGTGCATATAATACTATTGTGATGTAAGAAATTTCTGTTACTCTTAAGTAGCTTTTATGTTGTGTGTCGAATTCCCATAAGGCCACACATCTGGTGTGTCTTTTATGTGAATATCATTAAAACTTTTGTTCTCAGATCTCTGCTTTGATTTCTTTTGAAGTCTATGCACCACTCCAACTTACCCTAATTTTAAAACAATAGCAAAAGTCAGGCCCAATCAATGGCTCACCCAATGTTGAATCTATGTGAATTTGTAGTAGGGGAGGGAGGTCTTAATCGCTAAGTGAAGGTAGCTTGCGAATTTGAGAACTGTTGCACTCCATAACATTTCCATAAACTAATCATAGATGGAAAGCAGAGAAATCAATGTTATAGCTGTATGATCCCTTCTAAAGGAAAAGGAAATTAGTTAGGAACTGGAAAGTAAGAGCAGAAAGGGAAAAAGAGTTCAGCTCAGAGACTCTACATTCTGCAGGCTAAAAGGAATGATGATTGGTCCATACCCATAAATTCAATCCCAAGATGCTCTGCCAATGCAGAAAGGTGACAAAAAAAAGAAAGGGAAACAGTTTCAGAAAAGAGCAATACACCGCACTCCAAAACACATTACACATGATTACTACAGCTCTCCGTGCGTGCACAGTGAACAGGACAAACAGTGGATGGTTAAAGAGGCAGTGCTCAGGTACGCATGCCCGGAACCCCCCAGTGAGGTGTGAGGGTTCCACACACTGTCTTTATTAACCCTTGAAACCTTTACTGAGGGAGGTTATAGAGTTGATCTATCCTCTACTCATTGTTTCAGAACAGAAATCTCAGTCTTGAGATTACAAAAATAACCAGAAAAGGCATTTGAGATTATTTGGTTTGCTTTTAAACAAAGTTCCAAGGGCTTTTGTTTCTAAACTGATGATGCCTAGAGGCAGAGACAAGAGTAAAGGCAACAGGATAATAATTCGGACTGTAATTTTTATACCATTGGACTTATGTTTTGTGCTGGTGGGTCGATACTTTGGTGTCATTTTTAAAACACCTGCATCTCCTTTTCTTTGCCTTTCACGTTCTTTACCACCACTTGCCACTTCATTCACGGAAGCAGAAAAGGCTTCTATGCAAAAATTCTGAAACAGAGACTTGGGTGATGGTTTTCAGTTCGTGAGATTTCTGGGCAGTCTTGTGAAAGTCTACATCTCACTTTCTCAAGCTGCAATTTTTTTTTTTCTAAATATGTGTGTGAAGATACAGTTACTGGCATCTTATTTATTTTTAATATGTTGCTCTTTCAAACTAACAGAGTTAATTAGGTCAGTTCTCCACAGTGTTGAGCTCCAGTGGGTATAGGTATCAACAGGACTTGAGTGCCACCTAGGGAAGGGGACTGAAGAGTGTGAGTCCATGGCCAGCATAGGCAGCTCTGTGCAAGGTCTACACAGTTACAAATGAAAAATGGGTGGTGGGGGGCAAAGAAAAACTCTCCAACCACTTTTCTTTCTTGCAACAAACAAGTGAGCTTCATGTTGTGGAAGCCTTCAGGACTTCTCTCTAGCATGTGCATGGTGGTGAAGAGGAAGGTGAGAGGGAGGGATAGACCAGAAACTGGTCTGTATTTCCTTCCATTAACTGATTTGGAAGATATCAGAGTAATCCAGTAATACAGTGAGAGCTCTCAAGCTAGTAACATGTGGAGGAGGGATGTTACTCTTGCAAAAAACACCTATTGGGAGGCATGAAGAAAATACCTGTTACACAGCTGGGAAGAGTGGAGGGGGAAACTGGGGACTCACCATGGTTCAGGTCTTGCTTCTACCATTTCCCTGTTCAGTGACTTTGGACAGGTTTGTTACTCATTGACCAAATGCCTAAGATACATACTGTTAACCCTGTGGTGAGTGAAATATGACAGCCAGCATCAGAGGGCTTAGCATACTGGGAAACAGATATATCTGGAGATATGTCCTGGACCACTTAGTGCATTCAGGGTCACTTTTGAGTAATTTCATGCAGGAAAAATTCTGAAAGCTCCTAGGTTCTATAAAAAAAATTGTACAAAATTTTATAGCCCCTCAGGAAAAGAGGATTCCCAAATTAAAAAATTTATATATATATACATAAATCTTCACAGTGGGGGGCATGAAATGTAATAATTTACTCTGATTTAGGCCCAGTGTATTTGGACAAATATTCTGAATATTTCCTAAATTTAAAATCCAGAAGCTTTAAGGTAATTCAGTGGCACAGATGCTCATAGGAAAATAATTCATTCAAATACAAATGAATTTCTCTTCCCTCTGTGTAACACTCAATTTGTCAGACTGACATATTTTTCTCTTTTTTATTTTCATATAAACTTTGGGACATTAATGTGAAAAAATTCCTTTTCTGAGGAAATTGATAAATTTTCTTTCTCATCTCCTCCATGAGAATGTGACCCAATTTTCTTTCTAGAATCCCTCCAGTTCTTGCCTTTTCCTCCTACAAGTCAGTAATAATTTAAGGGTTAGAATCAAGACATATCTGTAAAAATCCTTTTCAGAGAATCATTATTCCATGCCTACATGAACACTGCAAATGATCTATATTAGTCGCATAGGAAGCTTTGTTAAGTCCTCAATAAAATTAGTAGCATGCCCATGCATACATAGTACTGCCTTTCAGTTTTATAGGTAAATCTGTGTGCCTAACTGTAATTTCATTTCAAGGGAAGTCATTCATATCAGGCAGCTCCAATTTCAAATAATTCAAGGGGAAATTAGTACTTAAGAAGGGACTCTCTTCTGGCCATGAGCCCTGATGAGGAAACAAGCGGGGATGCATGCATCAGTCATTCCAAACCAGAGCATAATGCTCCAGCTCACTCTCACTTCTGATAATTCCACCTCTTCACTAGTCACCAAAACAGCAGACTGTGCAAACACTTTCATTTTATGAAGAGATTATCTCTTTCTATCTGCTCTATTTAATCTAATGTTGTCATAGGCACATTATGGAGCACAGACTTCCTAATGAACTTCTGCCTAGTCGCTAAATATTTTCAAATTAAATTAATAATACAAAAATACAAAGTTACTGTAAACAATTTAGTTTCCTTTTCTAGGTGCGATTTCCTGCCTGGCCCATAGCAATATAAAAAATTAATTTAAATCTAAAGGTCTTCAGAAACTATTAAATCTTGACTCACTAATCTTTTGCCTTAGGATTGTATAATTACTTGAAGAAAAGTGATTAACCTGGAGGTTAATTTAAATTTTTCAATCACATTAGAGAAAAGAACAATAAAATAACTTTTCTTTCACCAAAATTATATATCCATTGCAATTATGGTGTCTGTTCAAATTTTAAGGCATTCACGGGATGATAATTTTAACACCTTTGAGGCTGTTTATGCAAATAATCTGAAAGACAGAGTCTTGCTTTTCTGCACCCCTGAGGGTTCTAGAGAGTTCTATCAATGCCATTTCTAAATGGGACCAATGTAGTGTCTTGACTTTTGAAGTTTAGACTTACCTTTGTAATGTAGTTTTTCAGATTCTGCATTGTTACTGTGTCCTTTGAAATTTAATAGACTTTTGCCTTTCTTCCCAACTTTCCATGTGCACATCAGCATACACACAGACACTCACACACACACTCACAGCGAAATCTCACACTCAGTTGCAATTTATGACAATTTTGTATGTGGAGTGCTTCTTTATTCTACCATTTGCAAGGTATACATGTGTGACAAATACATTGCCTTAACAGGTTTTTAAAACTCTTAATAATCCATAAAATAACTTAGACACTAGTAAACTGTCACTTGAAACTACTTTTAAGTCTATCTGATAAATTTATTATTTCGAGAATGTGTCTTAAAGTTCTAAAATTTCACTTTGAAAATATTCTATAATTTGAGCTACTTTGTATTTAATTCCTATTATTTGTTAGTTTCTACATGACATCGTTGCTCCATTTTGCCCATGACTATTGAAGCTGTGCATGCATTTTATGTTTTCTGCCATAAAATTCTAGGCACTGTTTATTTCCTGTGCACACACCACAAACAGACGCCAAGTCAAATCTGAAACTGACTGAAGTTGACAATGTTTTCCTAAGAAGTACTATAAATATTTGATATGTCAAGATAAATGACTGTCATAAATTATATCTTTCTTCTTTTCATAATTTAAATCAGTGTTGCTGGATCAGTTGCTGCCCTATAGGATATGCTGACCAGAATCACTGTATTAAATCCTAATAATCTAAGTTATGTGTTAATAAATACTTTTAAAAATGTCTACACTTCTTGGAATGCTATTCTTCAACTGATAAAATAGTAATTTTTTGATTTCTCTATTTTTATTTTATGTGTATGAGTGTTTTGCCTGTATGTATGTAAGTGCACCATGTCATGAAGAACCCACGGAGGCCAAAAGAGAACATCAGATCAGAACCCCCGGAAGTGGAGTTAAGGAAGGCTATTGGCTGCCATGTGGGTGCTGGGAATCAAACCTGGATCCTCTGCAAGAGTGGCCAGTGCTCTTAATCTCTGAGCTATCTGTTCAGTCCCAAAAGATGTTAAATTTTAAATGCTTGGTGAATTATAAATGTTTCGGTTTGAGGCTGGAGACTACCTTTCTTTCCCTTTAGAATTTGTTACATTCTCCAAGATTATGTCTATGAACAATTAAATGTTTAAGTGACCTCTGTGGAAACATTTTCTAGCATTTTACTTTTTAGCATACACTGAAGTTCTTAGAATAGCAAAACCTTATTTTTCTGCCCTCTCTGTAAGGTTCTGAAGAGACACACAGGTTAGAAAATGACCTCTGGGCAAGATGATTCTGGAAAGTGATGTCTGATCAGAAACTCTGGCTCTCCCAGACAGAGACATCAACATTGCTCATCGCTAAGCTTCCTCTCAGTCTTTGCTAAATCAGATTAAATACAAATGTTAGCTTCCTGGGTGTCTCCCGAAAGTGTCACTGAAAGCTTACTAAAGAATTTATTTAAGTAACTCCTATCTGGACTTCACAAATACAGAATGGCTATATGGCTATTTTTGAAAAAAAATTGTCAAATGAAAGAAAATATCATTAAATGTGAATAGAAACATTTTCATCAGTTACCAGCAGAATTAACTGCATTATTGTTCTGAGAAATATTTTCATTTTTTATTCTTCATGCTTGTCTTTACCTAGTGACCCAGCCTTGTCTTTAATTCACAACACATGTATATCTAATCACACCAAACATTTAAGAATAATTTGCCTTCTGACTTTTCATTAAATTCTAAAACATGACTTTATATCTACAGTGTCATAAGGACTTGCTAAATGTATTCTATTTGAATACAAACACACATGAAGAAATGTCTTTAATGTATTAAATAAATTCTATTTACCCTTATAGTTTTATATTCCATACTATCTACATTTAAATAATTATTCTATAGATCTGGATAGAAAAATCTTGTCTGATAAATGCATATTTTTAAAACTATTTGCTTGCAGAGAAGATTGTGTTTGAAAATTTAGCATTGCCAATTTGCCAAGTTTTTCAAGGGAAAATTATGGCTCAGGGCATAATCTTTGATAAGTGCTGTATGTGAGTACATAAGTGTTCCTCACTAGATAAATGACCATTCTGAATATCAACTGCAAATGTGTTATGGAATTCATTTTGTTAACATCTATGATTATTAACAGAACCTTATCCTTCTCATGAATAAGAGCATAGGTTAATCGCTGATATTTTTAGGACTCCTAGACAATTAGCATGTGTGGTTATTTCTAATGTATTGTGAACTTAGATGGCAATAAGCTATATAAAATATTTTTGACGATTAGTATTTGATGGGGTTGACAAATGCCACCCAACACTTGCTTTTGTAAACAATGAGCTAGTGGGAACACAGCCTGCTTCACCTAACCACTTCATTCATTGTCTATGGCTGTCATCCAGCTACAAAAGTGCTGTTGAGTAGTGGTCACAGAAACAGCATTAACACAAACCTTAAGTGTTTACTATCTGAACCCCTATAGGAAAACCTTGCTAACCCTTGATATAAGTGGGATGTATTTCCAAAACAACATTTTGAAACTTTAGAACCAAAAAAATCTATCATCCCATTGCATAAGAATGGGACAAATTGTAGCTTACTTATTCAGGCAATTATCTATGAGGAGAATTTATATTTTAGGAATGATTCTCAAAACATCACGAAGTCATAGACATCCACTAAAAGTCCCAGCTCTGCATTATGAATTCTAGAGTTGTTATTATGTTTTGAAATAGTTTTCAACATAATAGCTATTTTCTCCTAAAAGTATCCTCGAAACTAACATGAAGAAATTGCTTCTTTAAAGAAATGCTAGAGAGGCTGGCATGGTGATGGTTCCCTAAACTAGTTCTGGATAATTTGTTTCCCAAGCAACATAAACAGAAGTCTGTGTATTTATTTTGCTGTGAAGTGTTTGTTTTACATTTTCCTACCCAGCTGGACTTTTTAAATGCCTACATGTGAACTTTGGTTAATGAAGAAAAACATCTGAACTCTTTTTGTGATGTTTATTTGTTATAAATAACACACTCTGAGCCAAAATTAACTTACCATCATTTCAACTGAATATTGGTTACAGCTTAGCAACAGCTTTGTGGGGTGTTGGATACAGAGGATGGACTGTTTGGTGGAATGATTTTATTTTTTCAATACAAGTGAGACTTTAAAATGTCTTTATTATCTTTCACTCCTTGAGGTTGACTATAGATCTGCATCACATTATGCAGTATCGATTTCAGAATTGTCTGGAGCCTCACACACCTGTTAGTAACTCAGAGACAACTAGTCACGAACAGAGGAGGCAATACAACGGCTGCTGTTAATGTTCTCATGCGACAGGCAGAAGCAGTCAGTATTAGCCCTGGTAACACACTCTAGCTCTAGGTGGATCTGAGGGGAGATGCAGCGACAAGAAAGCAGCACCGACTGAGCATGCTCCTATTCAGGCAGAGACAGAAAGGGAGTGGACGTACTGTAGAAGCTGGCCATTACGTAGTTTTGGCAACGATCACCAGTAAACTCATTTGGGCACCTGAGAGAAGAAACAAAAAACAATGGTAGAAAAAACAGAGAAAGAGAAGAGGTGAACATATGCTAGGAAGAAGCTCCTTCAGTGTCATGTGACTGAGCTTGGCGAGTTCACCCTCAGGAACCGAATCTTTGTCCTAATTCCGGCTTTCAGACTCTGGCATCTTCCCAATGGTTGAAAAATTATACAAAATGCAATTTGGGGTTCCAATAGTGGTAAGATCCCAACATTTTAAGTGACTTCTTTTTTTCAAAAGAAGTCACTAAAATGACATGTGATCTTTTATCCACCTAGATTTCTGTTTGACAGTTCTGGCAAAGATGTCAGACGGAAATGAGTTTTGGTTGGTTCGCTGCTACAACAGCCAGTACCACAGGGCCATCTGGCCATTCTTTCACATTTTTTACTTGGGGGCCTATGTCTCAAGAAAGTTGCTGAGATCACATGAATGGGTTTATGCCTGAGTGGTTCTGCCGTAATTAGAACAAGAGCGGTCGGTTACAACTGAGCTGTAAAAGCACCAAGTGGTAGTGACTGTTGCTGTGGCTTGGGGAAGAAAGCAGATTTCGAGTTATTGTAACATACTTTCTTGGGTTTGGACTTTCATGGGCATGTTCTCAGTACATCTTGCTCCAGTAAATCCAGGTTGGCACCTAAAGGGCAGAAACGTGATAAGCAACAGCGCTCAACACACTGAATTTTCAGACTGGCAATTTTCCTCCTACGGAATATGGAATCCTAAAAATGACCTGGTGCTGAACAACATAGAAAAGAAGAGACACAACACTGAAAAATCCGTGTCCCACAAAAACTGTGGGTTACCGATTTTTGTTGTTTGCTTCATTTCATCTTCAGAAGATTAATTAGCAGAAATTTAACTAGAGAGAGACTGCGAGCAAAGGGCTGTTCCCGCCCCCTCGGCCAACCCTCAGTGCTGCGTCTCACTGTGTTACAGGGAGAGCAGCCTATTACTGTTCCACCCATTCCTTTTGTTGCCAAATGACCTTGACCTTCTTATTTTATATGCCCTGAAATTGCTACTTATTCCATGGTTATTTTCTAAATTGTAAGCTAAATCATGTAAACACTATAAGTCAAGCACTTTTATTCTCTAGTGGTTACCGACAAGAAAAACAACAGTCTCTGTTCATTTTTTAAGACATTGCAAATTCACTTATATTCCTAATATTATTGAAAGACAGAGCAAAAGAACTTTCTCAGTACAAATTTCGTTTCATCTAGTTACTTCAAATTAAGGAAAATATACTTTAGAAATTAAAAGTTATTCTACAGAAACATTAAGTGCCGTTTTTACATTTATAGTAAAATATTTTGAAATTACATTAAGTTGCATTTTATTTGCTCATACACATTTACCTGTCAAAATGCAAGACTCAATATAATTCTGTTCTTCAGATGATGCAACAGAGCTGTGCTTTGCTACAGAGGCCTGTTATAATTGTTCTTGGAATTGCTATTTATCTGAGTATCTAAAGCACTTCAGACAGGATTCAATTTACCGTTGTATTCAATTTATCATGCTCTAATAAATAAGGCCATTGAAAGGCTCTAGAAGGCAAATATACTTAGATGCAAAAAAAAAAAAATCTGAATACTCCACACCCATGGCCATAAACTTTAATAGCTCAGCATATCTATATCTATCACAAAAGCACCCTAACATAATTAGCTCTGGCAGTACAAACCTAGTAGTTTTTATGTAACTCTTTGGTATCTAGAATAAAGACTAAATGCTATCATTTTGGCATTAAAGTATGAATAAAACTATTAGTTTTACAATATAAGATTGATTTCCTTTCAAGCCAACTCAATAGCAAAACAACAACAAAATATCTATCATTTTGGCATGCAGTTCTAGGATTTTTACCCCATGAGAACCAGTACAGTATAACTGATCATTAAGAATAACATCAGCCTGGTTGGAGTGATGGCTCAATTAAGAATGTGCACTGCTCTTGCAGAAGACCTGAAATCGCCTCCCAGCACCCACATCAGGCAGTGTACAAGTGCCTGTAGTTCCAGCTCGAGGGAAATCTGACACCCTCTTCTGGCTATGTGGGCAATACATTCATGTGCACTTACACCCGCCCCATAGACACACATACATAGAAATATATTTTTTATCTTAAAAATAGCATCAATACATATAAACAATAAATATATCAGTATAGCCCCTTTAAACTTTTAGATAGATAAACTGATTATCATTGCGTATAATGCTTTGTACGAAGAATTAAAGAAAGATCTGCCTAGAACAATATATAAGAATTATGACCTGTAAGGTAGGAATATTTCTACAAAGATTTCATCCTACATGCTTCATTGAGATTGCTTACACAGACATCCAAGAAAAATACATAGAACAGTACTCCATTTACTTTATTTTAAAAAGTCACTTCTGAAGAAAACAAAGTTTTGTCAGCTTGTGAAATCAGGACTATAAATCCACAAGACATTTCTATACTTAATTATAAAATTACAGATATATTCTACAGTGACCATTTCATCCTCTCTGTTTTCTTTTTTTTTTTTTTTTTTTCTTTTTGAGACAGGGTCTTCCTGAGCCCCAGCTAGCCTGGAACTGGCTATGTAGACCAGGCTAGTCTCGAACTGAACTCACAGAGATCCACCTGCCTGTGCCTCCCAAGTGCTGGGATTAAAGGCGTGAGCCACTATGCCCGGCCCTATCTTTTTGTTTTTGATAAAAATGAACATTCTCATATTGAACACACAGTAATTGATTAATTTCTATAAAAATATGAGGTACCATGAATTGTGTATGCATGTTTTGTGAGAGAGAGTGAGAGAGAGAGAGAGAGAGAGAGAGAGAGAGAGAGAGAGGAGGAGGAGGAGGACGAGGAGGAGGACGAGGACGAGGACGAGGAGGAGGAGGAAAGAGAAGAGAACAGAGGAGGAAGAGGACCAGTCTGTGTTAAGAAGTCTTCTGATTTAAGAATTATGGAATGAATAAATAGCTAAGGGATACAGAGTTCCTTAAGAGAATGGGACACATTTATTAGGAAATCACCATCTAGTCATCTTATATGCCAGATCTGTGATTAAAGGGCACATGTCAACTATGCAAATGGGGTCAAAATTTTTAGTCTCATTAATTTTCTATTTATTGTGAATTCATATATCTTAAGAACTGAGCATTGTGGAATGACGAAGCATGTTCTATGAGATCACAGAGAATATTTGGTGCACAAACACTAGCACTACTTCAGTGTGGAAATCTTTGTTTAGAATAGACAGCTACGGCTGAGTCAGAATCATCCTTTTGTCCCTGTTTATCTTCACTTGGGGGATGAATTTCCTTTTCACCTAGTGTTGCAAGGCCTCAAAGTTACTCAAACTGTGGTTCATGGATGAGTATCAGTCTTAGCATCATTTAGGATGCTTGTTAGAAATAAAGAATCTCAAGATACAGTTCAGAATAGTGGAAGGGGTAATCTTCATTTAACAAGATCCCTAGAAAGTGTGTATGTTAAAGGTAAAGATGCAAAGGCCCTAACCTGGGAGGATGGAGATGACCTCTGCCCTAGCAACATGAGTACATTGCTGTCTGTGCATGTGGCTTTATTTTCCTCAGTGATACAATGAAGGAATTTCACTTAGTGCATACCAAAGATCTCTTAATACAGTTAGGTTCTGGGAAATGATGCTCATCTTCACACAAGCAATCCCTGCTAGAAAATCCAACCATCATCATCATCGTCATCATCATCATCATCTCCTCCTCCCCCTCCTCCTCCTCCTCCCCCTCCTCCCCCTCTTCCTCCTCCCCCTCCCATGCCCTCCCTGCTCCTCCATATTTTTGTTCTCTACTTTGTGACAGGGTCTGACTCTGTAGCCAGGTTGGTCTGGACTTCACTGGGCAGGCCAGACTGGCTTAGAACTTGTGGTGATCCTCTTGCCTCAGTTTCCCAAGTACTGGGATTATAAAATATGAGTCACCTTGCCCAGCATTAAGATTTATTTTTGTTGTTGTTGTTGTTTATGGTTGTGGGGATGGAATCCAGAGCCATGTGTGTGAGGTAAGCACTCTACTACAAAAAACAAAAATTTTCAGGCTGGAGAGGTAGTTTAGTGGTACAGATCAACCCCTGACACAGAGAAAGAAGCTATCAAAATTATTTTTGGTAGCATGAAGTTTTCAAAACAATTAGGGGTAAAGAAAATTGCAGTTAATCAAGTCACGTGTTCAGCAGCAAATGTCATTGTTCAACTTTCACTGACCTCTAGAACGGTCAAGTCAGCTAGAAAGAAGCAGAAGGTGCCCCAGCTAGTTTCTGCATAGGCAACTACTGACTTGCTGTACAGAACATGCATGCAGATGAACATCCACCCAATCTACAACTCTGAGGATATGCTACAGAATTAATTCTAGCATAATGGGGAAGCTGCTTGGCTTTTGGCCTATTTCTATTATATGTTAAGCATCACCTATCACTCCCCTAGAAACTGAGAAATGATAAATTCAATGTGGATTTGAAAAGTATGTTTTGACATGAGGCTGAGTAAATTCCAAAACTTCATTTCTTAGAAAATATTTAAGTATTATTAATAATCAAGCACCTGTTATCACTTAAACACAAATGTGTGTGTAAGTTTTATTACTCAGATTAGAAAAGGGGAAATATTTTAAAAATAATTTCAGCATTTGCTCCTAACCTGATAATCTTTGGTCAAGATACAGCTGTTCTTTATGGACTGAAAATGCAGTTTTTCTGTAGCTATACATCTGTCTTCCAAATTGACCCTAGTGACCTCGACCTCCCCTCTCCGCTTGGGGTGATGACGCCTCCCTTGGCTCTTGCATTGCTCCTTGTCGCCATCTCTTCAGGTGCACTGAGTGTGCTGATGGGTGTGAATGAAGGTCCTATCTTATCACTTGGTGTCCATCTCTACTGACAAGCCCAGAGTCTGGCTCATGCAGGACTCTCACAAAGTGTGTTTTAAGGTGAATTTCAGATTAAGCT